CCGCCATCTGCAACACAGAAAACAGGGTACGCTGGTGGAGTTCCATGCCGAAAAGAATGAAAAACACAAAAAGGCCGCATAAAGCTAAAACTGAAGATTTCGGTTTGCATTAAGAAGACTGGGCCTGTCAACAGCACAGCGATCACCTGCCACTTGGGGCTATGCTGATCATGAAACAAGTCAGATCTATGGCTATGAACAGAAATTGAGGGGAACACTCGACAGGCTGGTTACAGAAATGTGGGAAAGAAAGGGCCTTACAGTCCCAAAGCCATTTGGTGAGAAGCCACCCGCTGGTCAGGAAGCTGTGGAGAAATTCACTGCTGAGTGCTCTAAAGTCATCACTGATGAAAACCTCAGGCCAGAACAAGTTTATATGCTGAGGAAACATCAAAACATCATGACACTAGAAAGACAGCAGCTACAGCTGGTAAGAAAGATCGGCTTGTGAACTAAACATCTCAAGGCCCTCCCTGAGCCGCTGGCTGGTCCCCATCACGTCTCTTCTTCTTAGAGCCATCCTCAGGGGACTCACTAAGGGGCCCAAGGCTATGCACGACCTACCTGCAGGTCCTCCACATACAGAACGAAGCAGTTGGCCTGTTGGTACTTTGTTTCTAACCAACAGACCCCTTTATCTTAAGTATTCCTCCTTTTCTCTGTCTTTTAGACCAAGCCAAAGAACCTTTCAACCCACCCATCACCTATAAGTCTCCTCACTTCCAGATGTCCTACCTTTTTGAGACAAACCAGTATTTGTTTTCTATGTATTAATTTATGACCTCACCTATAATTCCTGACTCCCTAAAATGTATGAAACCAAACTATAACCCCACCACCATGAGTCCACTTGCTCAAGTCTTCTTGGGTGTGGCTCCGGGTCATGGTCCTCATGTGACTCAGAATAAACCTCTATAAATTTTTTTTACTGAGTATGGCTTCTTTTCCACCTGTAGGCTCTACAGAAGTTAAAGATGCCCAGGACGGAACTGGGCCGGGATGTGCTAGGACAGCAGGCAGCATACCCCTATCCTGCTTAGTGCCTCCCTGGTTTTGAGGAGTGAATTTGTTGGCGACCCAGGAAGGCACGGGCTGCTGCTGATGTGCTTTCGCACCAGGTGCGCCCACTGCAGGGCACTACCCAGAGGATGACTGTAAGATGCTGTCACTCCTTGACAGCCCTTCTCCTCATCCTCCAGCTGAAATCCTCAACAAAAGGAATGTTTATACCTTGTACTTTCCCGTGTGACTTTGTGGACTCAGCCATGTGACCTGAGTATCCTTAGATCAATGAAGAGTAAGCATTGAAACACTTTCCTGAACAGCATGCTAACAGCATGCAGTGTGTGGGGAAGAGTCTCCAAAGGAGTTCAGCCTGGAGGGCATTATAAGCTGCCCTCAACACCTGAAACCCAATGCCTGAAGGCACAGTCGTCAAGGCAGGTCCAGCCCCTGGCCTGCAACTATGTTTATTGACGACCACGAAACGAGGTGGTGACTTTGAAGGATTCTGTAGGTCAAATGAGAGAAAAACAATGTTTGACTTTCTTACATAAAAAAACACCTTTGGGCAGCGCCTGTGGCTCAAAGGAGTCAGGCACTGGCCCCACATACTGGAAGTGGCAGGTTCAAACCCAGCCCCAGCCAAAAAAAAAAACCCCAACACCCAAAATACACCTTTAAAGTGGCACCAGTAAGCTAGAAGTGGACATCAAAGAAGGACTTAACACTGATAATGGGGCTAAACGGGATCACTTTAGATGACACTGACTCTGCATAGAAAGTGCTGACAGATGACATGGAGAAAATGTGGTGGGTTTATAAAGGACCAGAGCAGCACGTATTCGTGACAGACAGGAGAACACGACCACTTCTAAGAGATGGGTTTATGAAGGACCAGAGCAGCATGTACTCATGACAGACAGGAGATCATGACCACTTCTACAAGGTTACTTCTCACCTGAAAAATACAGTGCCCAGTCGCCTTTTAATGAAAACACAGCATCATGGTGCAGCCTGCATGCCTGCCTCAGGTACTCCTGGGACACCCCAGTGCTGCTAAGTCACCCTCAACACATTATTTTTTCACTATATTAATGGCATGCCATTTTTTTACTGTTACATATGTACAAAAAGTATAAAAAAAATTGCTTATAAACTCAGAGTCAGGAATGATGGTGATGTCAAACAACCAGCTTGTCCACAGGGACAGCTGAGACTGCTACATGTTCCACTGGTTCAATGTGCACCAACTCTGTTTCACGTAAATAACATTAAACAGGTATCAAATTACTTTCAGGCTAGTAAGTTATAAATGAAGCAAAAATAAATTTCAAGTTTCAACTTGGGTGCCATCCTTAAGGTATCATTATGCATTTGCAAATATTCCAAAATCTAAAAAAAAATCTGAAATCCCAAACCCTTCTGGTGCCAAGCGTTTGGGAAAAAACATTTCTCAACGTATATAGTTAAGAAGCTGGAAAACAGACATTCATACAGGAAAAATCTCTTAAAAATATGCTTTCATAAAATTGTCCCTCAAACTGTAAACAACCTGCAAATGTTTCAACAAATATTCCTACAAGTGTGTGTGTCGGGGGGTGGAGGACTTCTGAAAAGTTCTGGAAGTAGTAAACCAGTAATATATTTGGTATACTTCGTTGGCTCCCAACTGTACCCATTTCTCTCTCTGGTCCCTGCACCTGGCATCTTTTTGTTTATTCTCTGCTTGTTGAAATCCTATGAATATTTCAAGGTTCAATGAAAATACCTCTCTACGGCTTGGCACCTGTGGCTCAACCGGCTAAGGCGCCAGCCACGTACACCTAAGGTGGCGGGTTCAAATCCCCAGCCCGGCCCGCCAAACAACAATAATGGCTGCA